TCCCTTCTGCCGCTGTCCAAGTTGTACACTCCTTAATGGTGAAATGGTGAGAAAGAGAAAACTCAATGGAGGAATTGCAAAAAGTACAGTTAAAATTATGGCTTCTCAGAGACAGGGGTGAAATTCCCATAGGCTACAGAAGACTTTCCTTAAGCTTTAGAAAAATATCTTTGTTAGAAATACCAAGCTACATATGAAAAAATGTAACTGTGGAAAGTAAGTCCTAAAAGATTGTGTCAAGTATGTGTATCACAAGTTTTCAAGTAGTTTTCAATATTCTTTTCAGTGTGCAGTGCCCTGCCTAGTGCATTCAAGCCTGTTGATAAACAGTTTGTGTTCCTTGTTTACTTTTCACAGTAAAGTAATGATGAGAAAATGTCCTTCCACACCCAGGGGCCATGGACTGAGAACCAGTGCTCTGGCGGTCAGAGAGGAAGAGACTCCTTTAGAAAGCAATATCTAAACAGGCAGCTTTACTCATTAACTTGCTGGACTGATTCCACCCAGAGCAATCCCATGTCCTATTGTCCAGGGTATGTTTTAATGAAGGAAAAAAACAACCCCAAAACATCTCCACTCGTGTCTTTTATTAAGTAATGCAAAATACAGTATTAATTATGACACTGCATGCATTTTAGACAATATAAATGCAAGCCTACAGAAAACGTGACAAAGAAACCCTCAATTACTTTTGAGGTAGTATACAAGGAAAAATAGGAAAGCAGAAACACAGTGGATTAAAAGAACAAAATATTATATCACTTTGTGCATACATTAGTCACTCATAAATACATTTGTATGAAATAACTTAAGATACAGTTCCATTCTTGTTAAAAAATATACTTCTTCAAATTCACCATTCTTGGTTTTTTGTCTTCACATGACATTTTATGGTATTTTATCAGGTGGATTTATTTTTTATCACAGCCGTCATGATTTTACCCTTTGCCTCCAAGAGTTTAGGCACAGATGGCCTCATGCACAAAAATAAATAAGAAACCTGCTTGAAGGGAAAAGAATTCTGCTCAAATAGCTTAGGATAGTCTAATAAATACCATTTTGTTTATAAAAATATTTCAGGTTTATAAAAGAGGGGAGGGGACAGTCTCCCATGTGGAAAGGATGTTAAGTGAAAAGTGCTGTATAACATTTTTGAAGAGATTTTGTTTTAAACATATAGTACCATATGAATATATATTTTATAATAATCCTATTTCTTATAACCTCATTGTTCACTAGAAGTATCAAATGCTCTTTGCTTCCTTTTGTTTGTTTGCTTATTGCCATTTTGGAAGATGCCTAGTTCAGAAGGGTTCCGTATAATTGTGCTTTTGTAAGGCTGTCCTTCCGACTCAAACCAGTACTCCCAGTCCGCTGAAACTGTTGCTGTTTGCTGTGAATGCCCGAATGGCTTCCTGGCTCCATGGAAGACTGGTGGATTTCTGAAGCCTCCATTGAACTGTGATTGAGTGACTCTGCTGAGCTGTTGGGGCTTACGTCCACGTATTCTCTTTTCAATACCGGGCTATTTTCGATGTTTTTGCTACTGCATAACTGGACAGTGATCCTTTCATTTTTTTGGTCTCTTGATTCTTTTGTTTTGTAAGTGGGCAATTTGTCCTGTTTACAGCTAGTGCTGATGTCAATATTCAGGCCACTATCTGTTCTCAGGAAGCAAGAATCCACAAGTCTACTTTGGCAGATATCATCTCCCTCTGAGCAGCTATCTGCTTTGTAACTAGCATAGATGGGGCTTGTTCGACTGTCTCCCTTCTTACCAGGGCTGTTGTAGTACTGCTCTGAAAAACTACAAGGTGACAGCCTGCCAGTGTTTCTGTAAGAGTACGCACCAATGTCCTCCACGCTCAATTGCCTCCATCGCCCAGGCAAGTCTTCTTCCGAAAGATGAGTGCTCCTGCACTCATTCCTCATTTTCTGATTCGCTAAAGCCTGCTGCGGTGTTATGGCTGAGAAATGAAAAGGTTCATTTGCATATGGAGGGAGAGTCCTAGTAAAAGTGGGTGAGTTCTCATTGTCATCGGCAAGCTCCATGTGCTGTGCAGGTTTGGACTTGGCAAACCTAGGACTTCCCTGATGCTCGTAACCTGCAGGTGACTTTCTTTCAAACAGTTCGTCTCGGTTGCTCATGTAGATCGCTTGCTGAGAGGCTGTCAGAGTGTTGGCTTGGGCATTCTCCTTTTCCTCGGATGTGACACTGAAGCTGGAATAGGAGCTGGAGGTCGGCAGAGAGGTAATGTACTCTGGGAAGGCTTCGTGAGAGAAGCTGGAATGGAAACCGTCTTCTTCGACAGTGCTGTCTGTGGAGTTCTGGGACCGCAGGAACCCCACATCTTTCACTTGTGTGTCCACACTCTGCCTCCTCTCCCTCCTCCTCTCCTCAGGGCAGTAAAGGGCAGTGTCACTGCAGTAGATGTCTGTCTTGTACTGGGGCCTTTGCCCGAGTTTTCCAGCAGAGTCCTGAAAATTGAGATCCCTTGTAGATGGGCTTGACAAGTGTGAAGACAAGCTGTTTGGATCTGGTTTTTCCAGTACTTTGGCAATGACGCAAGTGGGTATGGTATCAGCGTAAGATGTGTGGCACAAGGGGACAGAAAGGCTGCACCCGTGTTTTTCCAGATGGATGCTGACTCTTTCCTGAAAGTCAGATGGCAACTGTAATATAAAGAGATGGCAAAGGGGACAGGAGAAAAGGGTACACATCAATCTTGGTGTCTGCTTGGGCTTATACAACATGGATAGATGAGTGCTGTTTATGACATTACATAGCTCACTATGGTTCTTTGACTAACGTGATGGCTGTAATCTTTGTGCATTTCTGAAAACAAACATAATGAAATTACTTTCATTTATTTACTTAATATTTGGAAACCTTCATCTACTTCCCCTCATGGAAAACACCATGAAACTGAAAGGTTTCCATCCAAATTAATTCGGGTTGTATAGGAATGATGAAAAAAATGCAGTAAACAACGATCTTAAAAAGACAGGTAGGGAATTACAGCAGCACTTTCCAGACTGTGCAGGGGCATGATTTACAGTTGGAGTGTGGGGATGCAGAGCTCTCTGCTGGGGTGAGGAAAGAGGAGGAAGAGATCAGATCTATTCCGTTGTTCTTTTGCCTTTTTTTGAGCTCATCTTGCCTCCAACCTGGTGCCAAACTGGCTCCTGCCCTCCAGCATCACATTTGATAAACAATGCTGTTTGAAGAGGCAGGAAAGTTGGTTTCACTGACACTTAAAGCACTTCTGCTATGACAGGAGTGTTCCTGTCATAGGAGCTGGGAAGAAGTGTTCCAGTTGTGCTGGGAGGAAGCAAATCAAACTGGCTTCCTCACCCCAGCAGTAAGACACTACTTGTCAGATAAACCATCCACATAAGCCTCAACATGTTCACCTCTTCCAGCAGCTGCTAGCTGACTGCTTTTCTAGTTTCTTACTACATTGACAGAAATAAGAGCTAACACCTGAATTTACATTATGATTCCTGTGACAGACTAGTCAGAATTAATCAATAAGTCTGTTATGCATCAGAAATCACATAGTTTTTGGAGAAAATCAGGAGCAGCTCTGTGGACAGTGATTCCACCTGCCATCCTGTCTTGTGGACCAGACCACATTCCTTGGTGCGGCTTGGAAGTCTGGTAGAAAATGCCTATGCAGGTATCGCCAAGTATGCTTACCAGTCAAATTCTATCATTTGCCTTGCTCATTTCAGATCTCTATCAATGATCAGACAGGGGTATAAGAGAGAGCTATGTTATGGCTCTCTCTCAGTATTTCTTGCTGGAAATCAGAAGAACTCATGTTCAGACTAAGTTTTGAGTTTGTGACTGATCGCTCCTTTGATGATTTATGCCACTCAGGAATTTATCCCCTGAATGCTTGGCTGAACTCTGATTTTCTCATTACTTTTTATAACTAAAAATCAAGTCCCTCTTTACCCTATAATCAGTGGTTACCCTTATAGCCCTGACAATATCACTTCCTCATTAACTTTGTTTCTCTAGAGAAGAGAACCCTACAAATACTGAAGTGCCCCACTCTCTATTTTAGGCAGGATAAATTTAAGGTGCCTGCTCCTTGTAGTGATCTCAGATCGTATAAGATATGGGGCTTCTGTTTTAGCTTCACAGAGAAGTTTTAAAAGTTGTTTTAATCCCCAAAACTCAAAGTATTCAAAATACGGCATGTTGTGAAATGGCATTCTTGTTAATGTGAGTCTTTTTCAACCAACAGACCTTCCAGGATATTTTGGATTAATCATTACGTTGTTAATTCGCTCACATGTCTTCCATTGGAAATAAAGAGTATGATATTGCCAATCTGCCAGCAGACAGCAATATTAGTCTTCGTAAGTACAGATGCAACAAAGATTGAATAAACAGGTTGTAAAATAGGGGTGCTGTAAATTGCCACAGAGATGAGGAAAAGAAATACAGTTCATTAAACAGGAAACTGCTGTGTGGGGCAGTTATTATTTTAGTATCCTGTAACACCACTGTTTGATCTATTCTATACACATTATTTAGATTATGAAATCAGTTAAGAAAAAGAACATTATCTTCTGGCCATTGCACTGGAAACTGGAATTACTAAAATGATGCTGCTGTTAGATTACTATATTGTATTATAGTTTAGGCTTCTGGATAATATACAATACTTTGTCAGGCAATATTTGCATTTGCAAGGAAGTTATTGACAGTGACAGCACATTCACACTTGCTAAACTAATAAATATTTGGCCTTATGAGTGGAGACTTTGCCTATTTACTTGAGTGTATGACAGTTTAAAAAATTGTGCGAAGATCCCACATTTGTAATAGTTTCTGCAGTAAACAACTAAGAACTTTTAACGTCCTCATTCTTGCTAACAGGTAGGGTGCTTTCAAGTGTGAGTAATGTCATGGTAACTCCTGGATATAAACTGTTAACGGAAGTCAGTTACTAGGAAAAGATAACAGGACTGAGATAATGGTTAATTTCGATGTTCTGTCTCTGTTCCAGAAAATCATCACCCCATTTAACAGAAGTCTTGCTCTATAGTTATTTACCAGGGTGGTTTAGTGCTCTGAAGCAGTCTGCTGGCTTAGAAATGGTTTATACATTCCACATTCAATTTTGCATTATTCTGTTGCAGAATTGCACAAGAGAGACCATCTGGGTGGACACTAACCTGATGGGACTGATGAAGCGAAGGCTTTTCTCTGTGACCTTCACCAAAGCAGCAGACATGAGGAAGGTGCTACTGCTTTGTGTAAGGCCTGCATCCCTAAAGACAGTTTTGTTTACTAAGATAATAGTTGTCTCACTTTTAAGGAGTCTGTTTCTCAAGCCTAGTTTCCTTGGAAGCAAGGATTATTAATGAAAGTTTACACCTTGGAAATCAATGATTCAGTGCTCTGGTTGCTTTAGAAAAAGATATTTGTTCTGTCAGTCCAGTTTAAAATTCAGGTTTAGAAATTAGCTGGACTGGAAAATAGCTTCAGGAGGAAAATTGATTTTATCAGAATCTCTGATGCCTGCAGCTTGTCATTTCGCTGCTGTCACCCCTGCACCATTCCCCCCTAGCATTTTGCAGTCTAGAGTCATCAGCACTTTGGTTTTACTAAAACCTTTATTTTTCATGTGATCAGTGCAGGCCTCTTTCTGCCGGTTAGCAGAGGTTCCGGGGAAGAGAGTACCTCCAAGTTCCATCACTGGCTGTGATTTTGTTAGCATCTTCCTCAGCTGCACAGAATACCAGGAGGTGCAAAAGCCATCCTATTGCTTAAAGTGGGGCAAGGAGGGGGAAGATCAAAGCCCTAAGGGCAAGCAAATCCTGGAACTGAAACACGTAAAATAATCTGTTTTCCGTAAGTATTTAGTTCTTTGAATATTCACCAAGTTTGGTCACATTACCTCCGAAAGTTTATGTGCCCTGTCGTAATTCTTGCTGCACTGGAGCAACTGAGCAGCTAAATTGCAGTCCTTCCTATAGAGCTCCTAGAAAAACAAAAAACAGCCTGTTTTTTAAAGTTTGCAACTAGCTTTTGGCTTTCGGCCTTTCTCCCATGCCTGAGCAATCTTTTGGGAAATTTGGAGCACGCTTTAACTTTTAAATGCATTGAGATTCCATGTTTCCTGTGTGGTGCTGAGATGTTGGCCCCTTTTGCTCCATGAGGGCTGATAAAGTTAGAAAAGAAAATTTTGAGAACTGTTACTGCAGCACAATAATCTGCATTTCAAGAGATGGATACTTACCGTTAGGAACTGGACTTTATACTATTAACATGCATGGCTCTATGAAGGCTAAAATAAACACATTCTTTTAAGCAAAAAGAAAATTTAAGAACAGACAATTTTTACTGAGTATTATCCAGATCAGCACTAAGATACTACTTTAGAAAATGCTTAAATAATCCTGTGAGACTGTGGGAGAAATTCATTGCAACAATACACAGTGTGTCGTTTTTTAAAAAGAAAGCCTTTGTCTCCTTATGAAACTTTCTTGCTGGTTCCTGGCTCCTTTCATATCTTGCAGAATGCAGCTATACAAATATATTAAATCTCACTGCAAATATTTGATGCTGCAGAATGGGATATTTTTGCTGCATAAGAAATTACCATGAGAATTCTGCACAGGGAAAAAGAGAATTTAAACAAGCAGCTTATACTATTTTTGTATTGAATAGGTCCCACAGCCTATTTAATGGGAAAATTCAGTACATAGATTTGCCCTTCATCAAAATTTAATTTAGCACACATGACTGTGTAACTGTATCCTTCAACCAGTATCTTTGGGTCCCTGGAAGTAAGAGTTGTATGTTGCTTTTGCTGATCTAGACGCCATTAAAAACAAAGATGACTTCAGAATTTGACTTTATAGATGGGCACAGATGAGATGATAGACAAAGCATAAAGATACAATGGACACTGGGCTGTGTTAATCTGTAAAAATTAGAAAATGTTTATAGAGAAAAGGTGTTGAATACTGAAATGAGTTTGATTTTCTCTGGTGTTAACGTTAAAACTTTATTGCATGCAGATTTTTACCGGTCTAGTTGTTCTTTTTCTATGAAAAGGAAAGGTGGAAATTCCCCCTGTTTTGAAATACCATTTTAAAGTTATTCTGTAATAGCAGGCACAACAAGATGTTCCTGGGAGTCTGTGAGGCATCGGGGTAGTAAATGTAGCTTTCCTGTGATCATTAGCTTGTTATATCTTCTTATTCAAGGGCCTTTAGATATTCATGGTTTGTGGGGCTTTTTGTGTCTGCATGAACTTTTATACATGTAATTTCTGACTTAAATGTACTGGGGAGATATATATAGATTGTAAATTTAATTTCATTTATATAGATCTTAAATTTCATGTTAGTACACACTATTTTTATTCTTGAAAATGGAGGCAAAGAGTAAGAATCCAAGAATTCAACTTAGAAGCAAAGTCTATTGCATGTGCTTGTGATTTTGACATGTTACATGCCCATTAAACACATAATACATTTCTGCACAATGTGTAGCACGGATAAGAACTCCAAGTCCCATATGGCATTACTAGGCACACAAATATGAAATCACTCCAAAATCTAATCCTTTCTTCAAAAGCTGTGTGCCTCTGTTTCTGTGAAGCGGTTGTCATGGAGAGTACAAAAAGCGTTTCTGACATTTTATTTTTAGCAGTTTAAAAATTACTACAGAAAAATTACATGTGAGTTAAATGTGCAACGTGTGCTTTGTTCTCAACATTCTGGGACATACCATGTGATTGGAGTGATTTTTCTGTTGTCTAATGTTTATCTGAATGGACACTAGCCACATCTGTGGCAACTAGAACAATAATCGGCAATTATTGCCAGACGTGTTTCCCACAATCTAAAACATGTTTTTGCATCAAAAGCATCATTTTATCTATCTATCAGAAGAATAAGGGGAAATATAATTGAATGAAAAAGTATTGGCCAAGTAACAGTAAATATAATTGAAGGAAGAAATACTGGCCAGACAAAACTGTGTTCTCCCCATGTAGGATTCTTCAGTTTAATGCTGTGTCTACATGTTAGGTATAATATTTATGGTTTGTTTCATAGTTCTTTATTTTAAAATTTGGAATTTAATCTTTTTCTTTAGTGATGCTACGTAAGTAAGAGCAGAATTTTGCCTGTGGGTTGACCTCAGGTATGAAGAAGTGATATTGTTACTTGAGGCTTCTGGGCCATACTTTAATGTTCGGAGTAGTTCGGAAAATTTATTGGAAGACGAGTACTCTGAACTTCAGTCCAGTCTAAGCTGCCTTTTAAAAACTATAAATATTGAAAACACTTCTTCAGACATGGGCTCAAACCTGACCCACAAAGTAGTATAAATGCATGCATACTTATTGGGAGAATCTTACAATTTTTTCCCCTCCATTTTCAGTATGAAATAACTCCACTGATTTCAGCTGAATTAGTCTGCATGTATACCTGTGCTTCTAAAACTTAAATGTAGCCCATTGCATTTACCACATTTCATTAGTTTAAACTATTAGAGTTATGAAGTAACTGTTATTTCAACGCAATTTCTATCAAAGTAAAGGTTCAGATTGTGAACTCTTTGTTTCCGTTGGAAAGCTATTAATTACATAGGCACAATTCACATCAACAGACATATTAATGGGATCAAATGCTCCCTGCTATGATTAAGAGTTCATATGAAATATAGGAAGATTGAATGTAAGATATTGAAAAATATGTGCTAACAGAAACATGTCTTCTGTAGATGAATTGTTTATTGTGTTTAAGGAATGGCACAATAATGAACTGAATGCCTGCAATCTTCCTTTTTTTTGCTGCCTTTTTAGGTTTGTCCCTCGAAGGATTTAACGAGCTTCGTTGCCAGCTGCAGTACGTATGCCGTATTTCGGCAGTGTTTAATGAGATGCAGGGTGACAATTGCCAGAGATGTTCCCTGTTTTGTTCCACACAGAGATAGGTAAATTTTTACACATGAACCACAGCTGGGGAAAACCTGGCTCCTGCTCCCTGCAATAATCTGAGCGACCAAGTTGGGTCAATCCTACCTTCTGCTAGTAGAGCTCGCTTGTGCTGGGCATCCCCTTTCAGTGAGCAAAGACTGAAAGATCAGAGGAACTGCAGGAAATGTAGGGCTCTACACTGTGCCTAAAGTCCTTATGGTGTATGCTCACTCCATACGTGTGTCTGTGCAACAGCTCTGAGCATGTACTTCCATCAGTTTGCTGTACAAGACAGAAGCTGATAGCAAAATCAAAGTGGGAATATTGCCATTTCTTAGAATAATTTTCTCATCTGTTTTGGGTTAGACATAAGGAAAAAAATATCAGTGAGGAGTCTCACCACAACCCCATAGCATAAGAATAGCTGAATTTACAAAATTATGGGAATAAACAAACATGAATTTTTACATAAACAATAAGAAACTGTTCTATAATTTCATGGGAAGTGCATGACCTAATTTACTTTCAAATATAATCTCAAGATGTATCCATAATTAAATACTTACATTGTCTTCTGACAACTTATCTATTGTCACTTTGGCCTCTATTAAGTGATTATTGAGTGCAATTATTTCATGGCTCAAAGCCCGTTTTTCCTCTTCGTAATGTTGACCCTGTGTAAAAAACGGAGTAGTCAGTATTTTTTCTACTGTCAGAATATTTCACAAAAAAGACCCAAAGGTTGATGTAATTTTCAAATTCAGGGAAAAGCACAACAGACCAAATTTTTTTATTATTATTTTTTGCTATTTTCACTCAGCAGATGAAGAAAAGTGCTTTGAAAATATGGAGGTCAAACTGAGCTCACATTAGGAACCTTCACAAAAGGCTCTGGCTACCCTGTGTAAAAGCATTCTATTGAGCATCAGCTATTCCTTCTTTGTCACAAGGCAGGGTTTCTAACCTGGAAGGGGCTTGGGCTGCTCTTAGCTTTTGCTACAAGAATGTTTCACTTATGCCATTAGCTCCCATTCTTATCAGGGAGGAAGAACAATATTTAAAAAGGAAAGTAGCTATGTTTGAGCCAATTTCTTTTTAGCTGTTGTTGACTGTGCTGGCTGCTTTAAAAGCGCTGAATGAGGTTGTTCATTTCGCAAGATGAATGTTTGCCTGATTGCAGGGTTAACATTCGTTAGCAGAATGTGACCCACTGTGGGATAACAGGGAAATAGTCTGATGCAAACTTCTTGCTGCCCACTAATTTAATCTTGTTACCAGTAGGCTG